AGAATGACATTTCAATTATTTCAATTATTTCTATTGTTTGTCCTTTGTTTTTGCTTGTTTGTTGTTTTCACGTCTGTCTGATCAAAAAAGAAGAATTGTTTTTGCTAGTGGTGTGAGAGATGCTCCACCCTAAGACCAAGGTCGACACTCTCCACATTAACTTGTGCAATTACTCTTTCGAGATCAAAGAATAAAAAAGTTAATCTTTCATTTGGTTCCTGATGATGTGCACCCGACAGGGCACGAAAGTTCGAATGTAAATATTTTTCAGATGAAAAATTTTAAAAATAAAATGGTTTTTATAGCAGTTATCTCTTTCTTTTTCTCTTATTTACACAAATGTTCCTATTAGTATTCGTTCGTGCATTTTCAGTTGAAAGTTCTCTGAAGATTTCTAAGAAAGCTTAACGAAAATCAAAAAATATATAGTAGAGTATAAAGGAACAATTTCTAAGAAAGAAAACAACAAACAAGCAAAAACAAAGGACAAACAATAGAAATAATTGAAATAATTGAAATGTCATTCTATGACTATTTGATGAACACGAGTTGAAGAAAGATACACGTAGAACCATAAAAAATCGTCTTTTTATAACAGTTTAACATAAATTAGAAGATATAAGCTCCGATTAAGTAGAATGACATCACTGTGTTTTATTGTCAAATTAAGTGTGAGAGCATCTTAAACAATCATGTCATGAATTCTAATATTAGATAAAGACATTATTTATTTATTCATGTACAATCAAATTGATGTTATATTTAGGTTTAGTCCTATGAGTCGCCTAAAAGTAAATTTCATGTTGGAGACAGTTTAATATGAGTGGAAATATGATAATCATAATTTGTATATTAGGTAGAAACAAAGATTATTTATATATGATGGATTGATGATAATTCAAGTTGATCAAAACATTTCAATTATAATCTAAGATAGAGGCATTATATAAATTAATGTTGTATTTGAGCTGAATCGTATAAGTCGAATAATTGTGAAATCTCATATTAGAGGTAGTTCAATATGAATAGAAAGTAAAGTAATTTTAATTTGAATATTGGATGCGGCAGAAATTATTAATGTATGATAGATTGGTGATAATTCAAGTGGAAAAAGAGAAGTTCCCTAATAACAATAAATCATATGTTAAGAACAGTTCCATGACAAATAAATAGTATATTATTAGTAAGAACGTCTTTAAGCTGAATCGTATGAGTTAAATAATAGTAAATCTTATACTAGAGACAAATCATGTTGGGAACGATTTAATGTGACATCAAAAGTAGGTTAATTGTAAGAACATCTCAAACAATCAGATCAAATGAAATAACGTTTAAATTCTAGCATGAGACAGGCATTATAATAAAATTAATCTTGTCTTTAAGTTAAATCGTATGTATCGAATAATAGAAAATCTCATACTGAAGACGATTCGATATGAATAGAATAACAATTTTAATTACAATATCAGTTAGATATGGAAATTATTGACATATGATAAATTGATAATTACTCAAGTTTAACACGTTGAGTTGCATATGTTCAGAACAGTTCGGCGTGACATATAAAGAGTAGATTAAGTTTGAGAACATCACAAACAATCCGATGAAATTAATAACATTTGAATTCTAATATTAGATAAAAACAAAAGTTATTTATATATAATAAATTGATGATAATTCAAGCGAAACGAAGTAGGTTGCATAATAATAATAACTATATGTTGAGAATAGTTCCAGGTAACATATAACGAGTTACGTGTGAGTACATCTTCAACAATTAGATTAAGTAGAATAATATTTAAATTCACATATAAAATGCTCAAATTAATGTTACATATAGATTGAATCATATAAGTCGGATGATAGTAATGTTATATATATATATATGTATGATAAATTGATTGTGATTCAAGTTCAACGGATTAAGTTGTATAATAATAGTGAATCTTATGTTAGGAACAATTCGACGTGATATATAAAGAGTAGATTAAGTGTAAGTACATCATGAACAATCAGATTATATAGAATAATATTCAAATTTTCATATAAGATAGAGATATCATTTATTAATATGCAATCAGATTAATGATATGTTTAGGTTTAATCTTATGAGTCGAATAATAGTGATCCTCGTACTAGTGACAATAGATGTGAATAGACAATATGAAAGAAATATTATTAATGTATGATAAATTGATGAACACTCAGGTTGAATGAATTAAGCCGCATAACCGTAATAAATCTTATGTTGAGAACAATTCGATTTTATATAAAGAGTTATAAACGATACGTAAAATAAAATAAACTGGATATTCAGTAAAGTAGTGTTCTTCTATTATTTCTCTGGAATATAGATTTAAATTAGCGATATGATGATATAGCATGAGGTAAGTATATATATATATTTATTGTTTTCTTTTATATATTACATTTAGAATAACGGAGATTGAGAGATGTATGAGTGTTTACCCACCTACTTTAAGAGTATGTTTTGTATCGTTGATAGATTTACCGAAAGTTTTATTAGCTAGGATGCTTTCTTTAATAACTCATTTCCTCCATTCGGTTTCCCATGCTAGTGTTCTGGTGTTTGAGAAGTCAAAGTTATGTTTATATTCAAGAATGTGCTCTACTAGTTTTGAATCTGATGCTAGTGATTTTATTTCTGCCTTATGCTCATCCATACGTGTGTCTTTCATCCTACTTGTTTCTCCAATGTATATTTGAGGGTATGGGTGTGGATCTTCTGTTCAATCACATTCACACCCGCACTCACACCCACACCGAGACCCCACCCACACACACTCACATATGATCACTATCTTTTATGGATAGTTGTAGATTAATAGAACTCAACTGTTGATAAATTCAATGTTCGTTTATTAGTAAAAAAAATTAAAATATTAAACAAGATTGTTAAATTCCTCTGGAATATCGAATGCACTCGGATCAAGTATTTCTGGTACGAAATTTGATACTATCGTTGAATTCACCGTAGCTTAAAATAACGAAAAAGAAAAGTAGTAACTAGTAATTTCACATCAGTGTTACTTACCAGGGTTTTTTGAGTAATTGTGTCCGCTCAATGGAATGCATAGAGCATCACCGCTAACTGTAAAATACATCATTGCTTCTTCTCTTGTTATAAGCCATGTATCACCAATAATTTTATCATCTCCATACCCATATGTAGACGAATATTGATGCACTGCTGTCTCTATAACAGAATCGTGTTGTTATTGACATGAAAAGAAACAAGGCTTCAGACACCTGGTATACAATACAGTGGTTTGTCTATTATTGTTGATTTATAACATATTTTTAAATCTTGATTTATTGTAAAAGTTTGGCCATCTTTCATATTTTCAATGATCCATCAATTGGATTTTTTACCATCTGGTATCGAGGTTGCTTGGCCTTTGAATGCAACTAAGCTGCGATCCGAATCGTATGAAAAATTGTAGATTGACTATACAATTAAGTAGTTATAGTTTAAACGTAAATATCTCTAATATGAATGACTTACGTGTGAACTGTATGGTTTGCCATCTGGTAACATCGTGGCAGTTGATATACTCATTTGTGAACTGTGTTGTTTCGGTAAACAGCACGGTTTCGGCTCATATGGCAATGTTCTAATCGTTTTACTATTTGAGTTGCAAAAAAAAGAATAACAAAGATGGCAAAGAGTGTGCAGTAGAACATAGTAAAATTGTGCTTCATTTATGAAGAAATAAAACGCTTGTCAAGAAGTAAAATATGTGTTTGCATTCATATATGACTGAAATAGAAGGTGGTAAATATTTGTCTTAGATTAGTATTTGGCATCTATTATGGACCATATTTCGTAAGTATCACAGGTATTCAAGAGTGCCTCATATCTCGTACCTGGAATGTTTAAGAGGACTTTTGCGAGAAGTGAAGATATGAGTGCGGAACAATCATCTTTTGTTCGATATCATCACCTACACCCTTGTGCGGTAATTTGGTGCACAGCATCTTGCTTTGGCAAGTGCATTATGACACATCGTATATCCGCGATGCTTATGTTCTTTATTTCTATACGGTACAATTAACCTTTAGGGAAACTCTCAAATTAGATGTTCTGCAGATTGGTTTGTCTTTGTTGAGTTTTCTAACAGAAGAACAAATGTACGATCCTAACACAATACAAACAATGTTAGACAAAAAATGATCTCAATTTTTCAAAAAAAAAACATCTCGTATCAAAGATTCTTTATTGTATAAAGTTCGTATCAGTTGTTTATTGGTTACTTATGTGATAGAGTTAGAAAAAAAAAGGATTTTCTTGAATAAAAATAAATTCAACTAAAAATAACAGGCTAAATGGTGACGCTAGGACGGAATGTCGGAGGACAAATCGTCTCAAGCACAAATAGTTACGGACAAAATGTTGCAATATTTTATGAGGAAAAATATTTGTGCATGATCAACTGATTTTCTAGAGAATGATAATAAAGAGGGAAGAAAAATAATGAGCAAAGATTACAGTTTCTAAGAAAATGGAATACTAGATTGAAAAGGATTAATACATTCATAAAAATTTGAAAAGCTTTTCCGATATTACGCTGGAAGAGTCTTTTGTATCGAAACCTTTTGGATTCTTTCAACGAAATAAAAGGTCTGTTTCACAACGCGAAGCTTTTGTGTATTCTTAAAAACTGTTCAGGCATGTGGGTCACGATTTGTGTACGACGATTTGTCCTGGACAATCTGTCTGGTCATCTAAACAGTATATAATTTAATTTGATAAACATATATAATATTCGTATTTATGCACACACTTTTGCGAGACAAAGCATACAACAACAACAGAATAGAACACTAATGATGACACCAACTACCATACTGACTATAACCTCTCCAGATAACTGACCAGAAACCGAACGTCGATATAAACTGCTCGCAGTACGTCCTACGCGTCGTTGTTTTACTTGTAATGCTTGATCGAAATCAATTATTACTGAGGGTAAGGGTGTGAGGATCGATGCAACATTGTGATTGGAAAGGAAACTAGACCCATATCATCAAGCATATGATGATAATAACATAATAGAAATTGTATCGAGGCTAAAATCAACGCATTCAATAAATAGAACAATTTTAACACTCATATATCATCAAACACATATTGTCTTCCTAAAACATGTTCCATTTCTAATTTCATTTTTGATAAATAATTATTCTTTTTTTTCATAAGAGTATGTAAACCAAAAAGAAATTCTTTTTTCTCTCAAAAATTATTTTACGATAAAAAGACAAATTCTATTATTGATTTGTATGTATTGTCTTTATTCAATAAAACTCATGTAATAATCCAAATGTTATCACTTGAACTATTTCGAAAAAATGTTTCATTTGTTCGATCATGAAATATCTATTTTCATAGTTAGTTTTTCTTACCACTTAGATTTCAATTTTGTTTCAAAATAGAGCTGTTTATATGTGACGATAACGTTCGAGCACTGGTCATATGTGAAATTTGAAAATCTGATAGTATTATTAATTGAAATGCCTCAGTTGAAAACATTCTCATTAAAGGCATTCGGCGAAGATTTTGCTGATGGGTACAAATGGAAACAAGTGATCGAAAAATACGTTCCTTATTTAACGAACTTTTGATTTGAATTTCGGCTTCATAAAATTTTTGATATTGCTGAAATATTGTCGACATTTCGCACCGACTTTTGGTCAAAAATTAAGAAATGGTCTGTCAAATGTGATTATCAATAAATGTGGAAACATCGGATTTAAATCCGAGTGTTATGTGTACTTCAAAAAGTGAACTGGACAGATGAGTCATCCTACCACGTGTACTCATCAAAATGATCCTAGCGAGCCCCTTCTATTAAAACTTGATTTGTATCGGTTACTGCTCAACCAATAGGGTTTTGGAGCAAATATAGCTCAGATTTAAACTCTTCGTCAATTGGAACGTGTACAAAAACAGATCTAATTTCCATTTAAGTATCTTTGCAATAGGTGACTTAGCCTTCTTGTTTCTTAATGTTTTATATACCATTTTGTAGCTGATGGAATTCTCTATTGAATGGTATAAAATTGTTGGGGTTTTGTTTGATTATGAAAGGAAAAGTTTTTTACGAAATGCGGAATAGATCAATGTTCGCATAGAAAAGCATAGGGAATAATGACTCTTTTTCCCATAACTCAGCAATAACTCGACGAATCATTCTCATCTTTGAACTCGACCGAGATATTGATGAGACAAAACTGTGTAGAAAAGTTCATCATGATCGGACTCTTCTTTCGAAAGTTATCGTGTAAACGGCCGGCCGAACACACTGACCGATTCTATAGTGTACTCACTTTTTGAGTACACAAAAATGAGCCCTTTTGGTGGAGCCATAATGAAGGAATTCAACTTTTTCTTTGTTGAGTTACTTACTGGACACCATATATAGTAGATTTTTATTTCAAATCGTAGACTTCAGTTTTATATATGTCCTTCTTTCTTCAATAAAATAATGCCATTCAAAACAAATAGATGAGCGGATGTTAATCAGAAGTATCAGACGATGAGTTGAAAGTAAACCGTGCAGAGAAATAATACGCGTATTCATTTCGTATCATGCGCTCAAGAAAGAAACGTTGCTAAATTTCTGTGAAGATGCAAAAATGAGATTATGCGAAGCGACTAAGCCCTTTCCTCGAAACAAAAATCGTCGATCATCATCTTTTCAAAATTTGATTTAAGGCATTATATGAGATTGGGTTGAAACTTTCTGTACATAGTGGTGATATCTCTCTCTCACAGTATCATTGCTTTTTATCTTACAGAAATATCACAATTTACCACATTTGTAAGACTAATTGTTAGAGAGTTCCATATCTTCAACCAAATTCCGCTCATTTTACGAGAAAGACCGAGATTCTCTTAGCTCGAAGAAGACACTTGAACGTGGCGATTCTTTTGACTCTCTTTTTTTTATAATTCCCT